CCCCGCGGGGTCCCCGCCGCGCCCCGCGAACCCTGCGTGCACGCAGCTTTTGCTTTTGTGTTTTGTTTTGTTTTGGTTTGTTTTTTTCGGTGCTGCTAGGAATTGCTCCTGGCTCTGAGAGCACCGTGGAGGGAGGCGGGGAGGATGCGCCCCCGGTGGCCAGGGGACCGCGGGGCGCGGCGCCTGCACCCTGCTGGCTAATGTGGCCTGCAGTCCTCCACCCTGACGAACCCTGCGTGCACGCAGCTTTTGCTTTTGTGTTTTGTTTTGTTTTGGTTTGTTTTTTTCGGTGCTGCTAGGAATTGCTCCTGGCTCTGAGAGCACCGTGGAGGGAGGCGGGGAGGATGCGCCCCCGGTGGCCAGGGGACCGCGGGGCGCGGCGCCTGCACCCTGCTGGCTAATGTGGCCTGCAGTCCTCCACCCTGACCCCACCGCAAGGATGGGGTCCTCACCCCCAGCCCCTGGCGCTCTCAACCCAGGCTGCAGGGCGATTCTGCAGACACCACGCTTGCTCTCTGCTTCCAGATCTTTGGGAATAAAGGGCATTGGGGTCATCAGATGCATTTGGGGACGTCAGCGGCCCCAGCAGAGAAAGCCACAGGGGACCGACCCCACGGTGAGGCTTTCGCTAGGCTGTGGGTGCCGGGATGACGCCAGAGGTGCGAGCATCCAAAGGACTCCCTGCCCTCGCACCTCCTCGGGGTTTAGGGTTCCAGTTGCTCCTCACCGGGAGAACCCCTACCCCATGGGGGGGGCTCCAGCTCCTCCCCGTCACCCCAGGAGGGCCCGTGCTGCCCAGATAGTGGCGAGGACAAGGCCACCCTGGGGGCTGAGACCCGAGCAAGCAGGAAGAATTGTCCCTTGAGGGCCACACGTGTCCCCATGGGAGACGGAAATTCAGATGCTGGTGTTGATTGTGCTTCTAGTTAGGCTGCGTTCAAACTAGGGACATCAGAGAGGGCTGAGGTGTCCCTGTCTCGGGGCAGGTCGCCCAGCGCCTTGCTTCCCTAAACTGCAAATATGTCCCCTTGTGGGGACAGCAAATTCTTCCCAAATCTTCAACAAGTTGGAGTGGAAATAAATATCCCTGAAGAGATACCATTATCCCATCCTGGTATGGTGGAAATGCGGGAGGCCGGTTTAATTCATTTAGGAGCCAGCAATTCAATTTACTCTTCTTGTTGGTCAGCTGTGATAACCATGTGTTCGGAAAAATTAGGTCTGTAGGCACGAATCTTTCATGATAAGAGGGAAGCTGTTTTCCTGCTTTTCAGACTGCCCCCCCAACAGGAATATCACACTAACCCTAAGGCTAAGGTGTCCCCTAAACCCATAGGGAGCGGAAAACCAAAACCAAAATCTAAAGGAAATGTACCTGACATGTTTCTCAGGACTAAAAGTTACTTTTGACAAATACAGATCAAACTGATTCAAATACAGTTATAGTGCAGGCCAGTCTTCACACACAGACACACACACAGACACACACACACACACACACACACTCTCGCGCGCGCGCGCGCAAGGAGAGGGCTTTTCCCTTGGCCATGCCTCAGAAATTCCCCCGAGTTATTTTCTTTTCCCTTTCCTTCCTTCCGCTCCCACTCCTCTCCCCTTCTTTCTCAGTCCCTTCCTTCCTGCTTTCCTCCCTCCCCCCTCTTTCTTCCTCTCCCTCCTTACCTCCCTCTCTTTTTCCCTCTTTCCTTCTTTTCTTATAATCCATAAAGTACTCCTCGACGTGTTACATGGCTGGTACTCAGGAAGAACACGCGGACCATCCTGTGTCCCAGTCCTTGTGCAGTCATCATCTGTCCTGGTTGTTAATCTGGCATCTGTGTGAAGAGCCTCAGTCCCAAGGGCTGTGGGACTTTGGTGGAACACGGCACTGTATGGCTCATGTGGTTGGACTTATTCACAAATAAAGCCAGTTTGCATTTCTGTCCCCACTTTCCTAGTTGCACGAGGATAACTTGCAGAGTTTCAGTTTCTAGTTCTGGAAGGGGAGCAGTGAGCATGAGGAAACAATTTCTTTTTGCAGTGATGTGAGCTCTGTGCTCGTCTGGACTTTGTTACTTCCTAAGGTAAATATCGCTAAACAGACAGTGGGTGTTTGGGAGCGAGCCTGCTGGGTGGGTGAACCAGTTTGCTGTGAAATGCTAGAGTGTCAAACAGCTGAATTCCTGTGCAGAACTAATTAGGCCAACTATGGTACTATTTAAAATGGACGTTCATTTGAAACATTTTTGGAAAGTATTTTCAGCTTAATTTTGGATAGATTTAGCTTATTTTAGGCAGTATGATTATTAGAATTTTACCCCAAAACACCCCAACATAGACTCTTCTGAAAAATATATACTTTCCAATGAGCAATGTCCACCAATGAACATGCAGGCTTTGAATTCTGTGCTAATGACATTTTAAATAATGAAGTTCGTGTAATTATTGTTATTTAAAGACACAGTATCTGTACAGATAATAGCCAAAGCTAACCCAACTGCTTCAAACATTAATGAATATTAATGAAGTTCATGAGCAGCACAATACTGCCCCTGTCTGTCTCAGGAAAACAAGCGTATTGACTTTGTTCTAGAATAGCAGCCCTTAGCTCTTGATGGTTAAAATAATTTTATTGAACATTGTAAAGGATATGATTTCACAAGACTCGGCCCTGTTTACTAGACTTCGATCTCTTCCCCAAAGCTAATCTGTTTCATCTTTTCACACATCTGAATGCTATTTCTTCCCATTAATTTGCCATCTCAAGTCATCTCTCCCTCTCGGTTTCCTCAGCCGCCCTCCTCCTCGTCCCAGGAGTTCTCAGGAGCAACTCGGGTTTGTGGGCTCCATTTGTGTTTGGTGTATAGATAAGAGCGTCATTAGTCAGCTCTTTCATTCATCTAACTCTGTCTAAGCATATTGGAAGCTGCCCATAAAATCTTCCAATGGAAGTGACAAATGGATGTCAATCACGAGGCCCCACCCACTCCAACCTTGTTTTGTGTGATGTGTGAGTGTTTGTGCGTGTTTCCTCCATAAGGAGAAGCTAGGCTATTTTTTGATCTGGACATCTGCCTGCGAAGGCAAGTTTCCCAGGCCCATCACTGGTTGGCATTAGACAACATTTGCAAAAATTAACACCCGATGAATAACAAAAGAAATAGTATGTGAAATTAAATTGTGTTAGAATCCATTCCCTTAAGGTAAACAATTTTTGGTACTCCAGATTTCAAGACTTTACAGTTTTACTGCAAATGAGAGTGAATGAGAAAGGTAAAATCATTTCAAGCAAGCCAGCAAATTTGGGTCAAAATGAAATCACTTCTGTGTGTGTGTGTGTGTGTGTGAAGGGGGGTGGGGGGCAGAGACAGAGAGGAAGATTCCCTAAAAATGTTTGGGACTTTCTGTCTATTAAATCAACATCTACAGCTATATTCTAAATACCTGTACACACTATTCTCCATGTGTGTGTTCCACTGTCCTCTGGTGTCTCAGTTCTATTTTTGTCCTTGTTTTTAATAACCAGCCCAATCTCTAGTGCTATTTGCTAGGCGAATATACTTATTAGGGCTCTGTGCCAGTTTTAACTGAGATTACTTCGACTGCTCTTGAAATCAATTGCTGTTTTCCAACCTGTAACATGTTTTTACATGTTTAAGAGTGTTGCTGCTGTTGCTGAAAACAAAATTCTGCATTTATATTATAATGCGTTCGTATGTTTAGCCAAAAAGTGCTGTATGCTAAGATGAGATGGGAAAGATTCTAAAATCTTAAATGGCTTTGTAAACCCTGGATAATAATCGTAGTTTTATGGATAAAGAGTATTTTTTACATTTTAATACTGAACAGAAGTCATTTTTTCCCTAAAGTTGTTACAAAATTTCTTTGTCCACAAGGAATATTAAAGAAAAGTTTCTAATTTGAAGTTATTTTATTTGGAAGCGTGTTGGAGGGAAGCTAATCTTTACACCCAGGAATACAGCTTGCTATCACACTTATGATTATCCATGGTGGGGTGCCTGAGTTTCCTCTTGTGACCCCAAAGATTTTAGTGACTTTTAAAAAGTGGGACGTGGAAAGTATCTCCAGATCATAGCAAATGTGGGAATTTGATAAATGCCTCTCTAAATGACCATTTACTCTATGACTTGTTATTGTAATGAGTAGACATGAAAAACAAGTTATTGACTAAACTGAATCTAAAAGTTTCTGCTATCTTTTGATGGCAGTTATATTCTGAATCCTCTCGACAATTATACTTTAGCAATCGATATGGGGCAGTGGTTACCAGTGCTTTCCTCCCCACATTTATTGTACATAGAGGGGAAACAATGTTTTTCCTAACGTGTATTCTGCAAGCTGACCTTGTTTTCTAAAACCCAGCTGGGCATCTCTTTCTGTTTATATATGAGAACAAAGAATCCTGAATTAGGAAAAAATCTGGCTTTCTTGCTTATGATTTTGGACAGAAAGTAATTTTTCTAAAATACTATATGGATTTATGTCCGAAGGCCATGTAGCTTTGTTGGAGGGAAGAGGAAGCTTTAGTTTTGTTAATAAACAATACTAGCCCAGCTCAGACTTACTGCCGGAAATTAGATACGGAAGGGGTCGGGCTGTTCTGACTTCAGGTTTCGGCTACATAGCATGTGGATGACCACCCAGCTGGTGGTTAAAGAGGGTCCCTGCCGTCTGCAGTTTTCTGAACCCAGCGCCCTGTGCAGATGGACCTACGGCTCGGCACTCCCACACCTGACTCCCCTTCCGGACACCCTGCGCCTCCCCATGGAGCCCCTTCAAGCCCCGCAAGCAGATCCTCGGGCTCCACCTCACATAGGAGCTCAAGGCTAAAATTAGCCAGGTTCTCCCTGCTCCCCACTCCAAAAGGCTATTTTCAGCAGCAGGATTTTTCAGGATGGAGAAATTCTGAAAGAAGCTTGTAAAACTAAGGCTGTGTTCAAGTTGGTGGTTCCTGGGGAATCTATAGCCCAAAGCCCGGAAGCCCTTGAAAGCATTGTATGGTCCCCTCAGGACTAAGAAGGCCTCCCTGAAGGCCTATAAAGGTGGAGAACCTTCACACCGAGCCAGGCCGGCAGCCGCATTGGCCCCATATCTGTGACAAGGGCAAGCAGCAGCTTTTGGGTCATGGCTTGGAAAAGTGACAAGGATGGGTACTTCCCACCCCACCATTCCAAGGAGAGGACTGGGGCAGGCGGCTGAAGGGACAGACACCCTGTGCAAACACTTGACAGCTCCCGGGCAGTGGGCCAAGCACCAGGCATCGCTCCAGAGGCCGGGCCCAAGGCCCAGGGCACTGAATGGTATAAAGCTGGAAAAAAGAACACTGCTGTCGGCAGGAAACTGAGTCGAACAGATTGGGAAGAAGCAAAAACAGGGTGCCCAGGAGGTTGTGTCCCCGGACAAAAGTTTCAGTTGTTAGCAACAACCAGGATGGAGCAGATTCCACGTTTCCTACTGCCTGGGGGTGGTGCGAGTGGGACTGGGGCCAGGGAGCCTTCAGGGTCAGGGAACCCAGCTCAGGGAGGCTGGAGGAGAGGCCTGGCGCATGCCTGGTTGAGGGGAGAAGCTTGGCATGCCTTCCGGCTCTGATTCAGGACGGCACAGGCTGGCTTTGAGAGTGAATGCCGCTGCAGGTGCAGGCTTTACTCTGTGGGTCCTTTGCTTTATTTCTTCACCATTTTAAAACGTCCTTGCTGTCTTAGTCACTTCCTGAGACTTTGAGACTAAATGCACAACACCTGTAACTCAGAGGTGGCGAGATTTATTGTAGCTCACGGTTTCAGTGCATGGTCCGCTACCTCCAAAGCAGGATGGCAAGGAGTAGAGTGGAGGCAGGAGCTGGGGCGGGAGATGGACCCTGCCAGCCCAGCCCCCAGGGAACCTCCTCTTCCAACCAGACCCCGCCTCTTAACAACACATGCAGTTGTAACTCACTGCTGGTTTTAATCCAGTGGAGAGCACAGAGCCCCATTTGATGGTCACCTTTCAGAAGCCCCACCTATGAGTGCATGAGGCTTTGGGAGGTCATCTAGGCACAGACATTTGACCAGGATTCATTCCCCAAGTTCTCCTTGGGTGAGTAAAAGGGAAGAACAGAGTCTTCTTAGCTGCTTATTTCATTTCTCCTTTTTAGTGCTTACCCTACATTTATTAGAGAAAGAAAGATGGAGGACTCAGAGATGGTGCTGTCCCTGTTGCTGTAGCAGACTTGGTTTTGCTGAGCTCACCTGCTGCAGATATTTCTCAAGAGCTATGAGTGGAAAGCTGGCCCTACTTCCTCCATGAAGGCAACATACTCTGAATTTCAGAGAACTCTGGACTTGCGGGACGAAGCGTGTGGTTGGAGCCAAGAGAACCAAGATGAGAAGGTAGCTTTGGATTTTCAGAACTCCATGTGGCCTTGAGGTTGACAGGAGGGGGTTGGAGTCTTGGCTTAGACAACTAACAGGGGAAGCAAGTTTTCCCCTTCTCTTTTGTAGACCACCATGATAATAGAGTTCAGTAGCCATCCAGACCCACAATGAGACCCTGAATTGAGCAGGATGGGGTAGGTGTTTGGGGGTCTAGATTAATGTTCAGCAAATTTCACAGGTGATTGTTAGGCATGCTAAATTTTTAGAGCGGCAGCCAGGAATACATCATCCTTCCATTATCCCAAATCATAAAGGGAAATAAAATCTTCCATCTAAAATCATTTCTGTTCTGGCTGCCATGATACAGGGTAGATTTCATACTGGTAATAGGTGGCTGTAGCAGGTTACTGCGAGATATCAGTCATTAATAATTGTAGCAGCCACAGATTAGGTTACTCTGAGTGATTGAACATGGCATCTCCATTTTACAGATGGGGAAACTTGGACAGAGACAAGTCCGGGAAATTGTCCAAGGTCCAAACAAGTGGCAAACCAGATTCAAAGGCTAGGCTTGTGGCGTCACAGCGCTGCTCCCAAGCTCTCACTCTGAGCAAGTCAGTTCATCTTTGTAAACCTGCTGGGCCTGCCCACCT